ACTTAAGAGAAAAATATCCCCAAATGTCACTGGAATAGCGAGTGATTATATTAAAATGATTTTAAATATGTCTGATAATTAGTTTATTATATAATTAAACTTCTTGTTTTCCGCTCGTCGTGGTCGCTACTATAATAATATCTCATCACTTGATCCCGAATTACCCAGTTAATAGCCAAGTAGCCAGGTAATAATAATTATTTTATATGAACAGATACTTCACGTGAGCGGCCAGATTGATATTATGCGACAAGACTTGGCTGAAATTTCCGACAGCGAATACGACTCTAGCACGTCGTTGATCATAATTAAAGATCTGATTTACAGGCATCAGAAGATTATCACTCTGTCGGAAAATATCGAAAACTTGTTTTCTTACATTGCGCTGATGCAACTGCTGTGGAACACCTTGGTTATCTGCTGCACCGGTTTCGTGATCATAATCGTGAGTAACGGCCGGCTGTCGCGCTACCAACGAAGAACTCTACTATACCTGTTGCATTGTAGACCGTCAGTACCGACGTGGGTATAACGACTTTGTTCAAATCCGTGAGTTTTTATATCGCTATTACTCTAGAAGCTTTCATATTCTGTTTCGCCGGGGAATTTTTGAGTGCCAAGGTTTGTAGACGAATGTTCCTGCACGTGACAGATATCCGTCGTGGTTGTCCGTTTCTTTCAGTTTGCATTGCGTCATTCATCGTGTGTACACAAGTAATTCTCATTGATTCATATCAATATATTTTACAATAATAATTCATAATAATTCATACATAGAACATTGACATTATTATCTGAAGAACAAACTAAATCACTATTAACGATTTAGTTAATATGTAAAGTTACATATTAATTCAAGGCATGTTTCAAGGCATGCTGAATGATAAAAGAATATTGCCGGCTTCGTGTAGTTATTAAGCGTTCCGGAATCGAATTCATCTTGTTTACAGAGCAAATCGATCGGCGACGCGGTGTACGAGTCGCTCTGGTATAATATGTCGCCAACCGACAGCCGCGTTTTATTGTTCGTGATGTTAAGATCGCAAAAACGGTTGACGATCACCGCGGGTAAAGTTGTCGATTTGACTTTGGAAGGATTTACGAGTGTACGGACACATTCCGTTGTTTGTGTTTTGACGCGCGACGCTCGGACTATTTCGCGATAACAGCGCGCTATTTTCTTTCTTTGTTTTTTAGATCATGAAAGCTTCTGCCTCCTATGTGTCGGTATTGAACGCGATGTATTAACGTCGGAATGACTCTGTGGATCACCGTATGTACATGTTCACCACCATTGACTTAACCACAACAATTTAATAGGACAGTTATCTTCGTCGGCTGAATGGAATCGTACATTTTACGAGACGCGGGATTGTTTTGCGGTGCGAATTCCTTGTTAATTCAACGAATAATCATTCTTCATTTCTGGTAATCCACGTTGGTTTTTCCGTAAAATGTAAATCTCTCTTTTCCAATTTGTTTTTACGCTTTTATTTTGCAGATTTAAGGGATAACAAGTGCCAGCAAATACTTAAGTAAAAGTAAAAATAGCCAGTAAAAATATCGAAGATTCGCTCACGTTTGTTGAATATAAATTTTTACTGAAATTTACAACTTTTGTGCATTTGGCCAATCACAATCATCCATCACATTCTCCCTCGTTTTTTTATCAATATAAATATCTGATATATTACAACGATATGTTACATGTTATTCTCATGATTTTTCGACAATTTTCCAAAATTGATTTTTATATTTATTTTTATTTTTATATTTTTATATTTATCGAATTTGCTTTGCGTGTCTATAACCACGCTTGTTATCATAGCGATGACGTTGCATTTCTAAAAATAATTATTCGCTACTGTCCTGTTGTATGTATATGTGTGTGTGTGTGTGTGTGTGCACGCGCGCTATATTTATATTTTCCCTCTGTAAAAAAGTCGTGTTACCAAATATCTCGAATGTATCAAAGCGTTGAAGCTTCTTTTCCGCGATGTTGATTATTATTTCTCACTTTGATTCGCGGCGTTCACATAGAAGGATTAGATGTCCACTTTAAAATCGGCGACAAAAATGACACGATTTTCACTGTTAAATGCCACTTACATTTGCATGATGTTGAGCATTGCGAGAGTGGCGTAAAAGTTTTTCCACCGTAGGCTTCGCCATCAGCGCCTGCTTCGTATTCTTCCTTTCGATCGGCGAACATTTCGTTCAGTTCAATGAACGAGGACAACTGACAGAAATAATTTATATGTGCATGTGTATGTGATTGTAAAATAAGGTATCGTAAAAAATAATATTCCAGCT